CGGCGATGTCCCCTCGGTGGCCACCGACGACGTCCTCACTGTCCCCTCACTGTCCCCTCACTGTCCCTCACTGTCCCTCACTGTCCCCTCACTGTCCCTCACTGTCCCCTCACTGTCCCCTCTCTGTCCCCTCTCTGTCCCTCACTGTCCCCTCGTTGTCCCCTCCCTGTCCCCTCAGTGTCCCCACCCCTCAGGCCCTTCCTGGGGGTCACTTGGGGACCAGGGGACACTGGGTGACCCCGGGCACCCCTGGAGGGCACCCAAAGGCCGGAGCGGTGACAATGGGGTTGACAGGGCGGTGACAATGGGGGTGACAGAGGGGTGATAATGGGGGTGACAATGGGGGTGACAGAGGGGTGACAATGGGGGTGACAATGGGAGTGACAGGGGGGTGACAATGGGGGTGACAGGGGGGTGACAGGGGGGAGGTCTCAAAGAGGCCACCCCCAGTGACACTTCTCAGGGTGGGGGTCAGGGCTGGGGACATCCCTGAGCATGGGGGACAGCGGTGACACCCCCTGGGAGAGCCTGGCAGGGTGGGGACATGGCCCTGTCCCCTCCCCGGGGCCGGGGGTCCCACGTCCCTGTCCCCGTGGGGCTGGGGACCCTCCCGGGACCCTCCCGGGACCCTCCCGGGACACGTCCGTGTCCCCTCCCCGGGCTGGGGGTCCCACAGGGGGTCCGGGCCAGCAGAGCCACCGGCGGGGGGGGTGACAGCGACTTGGGGACACATCCCAGGGCCGGGAGGATTCCCCGGTCCCGGGGGTCGCACGGGGATTTCCCGGTGGGATTGCGGGATCCGGGATTTGAGGGGGGCCTTGGCCGGGGAATTGCCCCGAAAACACCGGGATGGGAGAGAGGGGGATCGCCCCGATCCCGAGGGATGGGAGAAACGGGAATCCGGGCAGGGGGATCGCCCCGATCCCGAGGGATGGGAGTGAGGAGGGTCCTGGCAGGGGGATCTCCCGGATCCTAAGGGACGGGGGAGTGGAGTGTCCTGGCAGGGGGATCGCCCCGATCCCAAGGAATGGGAGTGAGGAGGGTCCTGGCAGGGGGATCGCCCCGATCCCAAGGGATGGGAGTGAGGAGGGTCCTGGCAGGGGGATCGCCCCAAAAACACCGGGATGGGAGAGAGGAGGGTCCTGGCAGGGGGATCGCCCCGATCCCAAGGGATGGGAGTGAGGAGGGTCCTGGCAGGGGGATCGCCCCCATCCCAAGGGATGGGAAAGCAGTGGGTCCTGGCAGGGGGATCGGCCCGATCCCAAGGGATGGGAAAGCGGAAGGTCCTGGCAGGGGGATCGCCCCGATCCCAAGGGATGGGAAAGCAGAGGGTCCTGGCAGGGGGATCGCCCCGATCCCAAGGGATGGCAGTGAGGAGGGTCCTGGCAGGGGGATCTCCCGGATCCCAAGGGATGGGAGTGAGGAGGGTCCTGGCAGGGGGATCGCCCCGATCCCAAGGGATGGGAGTGAGGAGGGTCCTGGCAGGGGGATCTCCCGGTCCCACCGGGATGGGAGTGAGGAGGGTCCTGGCAGGGGGATCTCCCGGTCCCACGGGACGGGCGGCAGCGGTGGGTGGGGGTCTCCGGGCGGCGAAAGCACCGAGCTCCCGATTTCCCCCCGCTCCCTCGGGGACAGGCGGGGCTTTCCCGGAGCTTCCCGTGCGGATCCCCCGATCCCAGCGGCAAAAAGCCGAGGCGGGATCCGCCCGCGGGGAGCCGGGCGGGGCGGGGGGGGCAGCCGGTACCTATGGTGGTGATGACGGTGATGGCGAAGTAGAAGGAGCCGGCGAATTTCCACTGCACGCCGGCCTTGTGCGGCTTGAGCTTGAGCACGACCCGCTCGAGCTCGCCGTAGCTCTCGGCGCTCAGGTTGTACTTTCTCTTGAGCTCGTCGCTCTTGGCCTCCAGCCGCCGCCTCTCCGCCGTCTCCGCCTCGGACTCGAGCGCGTCGAAGACGGCGGCGCCCACCAGCAGGTAGGTGAAGGTGCAGACGATCAGCGCCAGCGTCCGCACGTTCTGCCGCTTCATGGTGCGGCGGCGGCGGCCGCGGGGCGCGGCGGGGCCGGCTGGGGCATGGCGGCAGCGCCCGGGCACGGCGGGCGGCCGGGGAGGCGGCCCGGAGCGGCGGCGGAGGAGGGGAGGGAGGGGAGGGAGGGGAGGGAGGGGAGCGAGGGGAGGGAGGGGAGGGGAGGGAGGGAGGGGGCGGAGCTGTCCTTCAGCACCAGCGGCCCCCGGGACCCCCCGAGCGGGGCCGGGGCCACCCCCGCTGGGGGCGGCCCCGGGCGCGGCCGGTCCCGAGAGAGGCGCCGGGAACCGCTCCCGGAGTCCCGGATCGCGGCTCGCAAAGATGGGAACAGCTCCCAGATCCCAGCTCTGGGACAGGTCCCAGCTCTGGGAACAGCTCCCAGATCTGGGAACAGCTCCCAGATCTGGGAACAGGTCCCAGATCCCAGCTCTGGGACAGGTCCCAGATCCCAGCTCTGGGACAGATCACAAACCCCAAATCCCAGCTCTGGGAACAGCTCCCAGATCCCAGCTCTGGGACAGGTCCCAGATCTGGGAACAGCTCCCAGATCTGGGAACAGCTCCCAGATCTGGGAACAGCTCCCAGATCCCAGCTCTGGGACACATCCCAAACCCCAAATCCCAGCTCTGGGAACAGGTCCTAGATCCCAACTCTGGGAACAGCTCCCAAATCCCAGCTCTGGGACAGATCCCAAATCCCAGCTCTGGGACAGGTCCCAGATCCCAACTCTGGGAACAGGTCCCAAACCCCAAATCCCAGCTCTGGGAACAGCTCCCAGATCCCAGCTCTGGGACAGGTCCCATATCCCAGCTCTGGGACAGGTCCCAAACCCCAAATCCCAGCTCTGGGAACAGCTCCCAGATCCCAGCTCTGGGACAGGTCCCATATCCCAGCTCTGGGACAGGTCCCAAATCCCGAATCCCAGCTCTGGGAACAGCTCCCAAATCCCAACTCTGGGAACAGCTCCCAAACCCCAAATCCCAGCTCTGGGACAGGTCCCAAAACCCCAAAGTCCAAATCCCAAATCTGGGAACAGGTCCCAAAACCCCAAATCCCAAACCCAGGAACAGATCCCAAAACCCAAAAGCCCAGATCCCAATCCTGGCAACAGCTCCCAAAGCCCAAACCTCAAATCTGGGAACAGCTCCCAAACCGCAAAGGCCAGATCCCAAACCTGGGAACAGCTCCCAAACTCCAAATCTCGGAACAGCTCCCAAACACAAACCCCAAATCTGGGAACAGCTCCCAAACTCCAAATCTCGGAACAGCNCCCCAAATCTGGGAACAGCTCCCAAACTCCAAATCTCGGAACAGCTCCCAAACACAAACCCCAAATCTGGGAACAGCTCCCAAACTCCAAATCTCAGAACAGCTCCCAAACACAAACCCCAAACCTGGGAACAGCTCCCAAACCCAAACGCCAAACCTGGGAACAGCTCCCAGACCACAAAGCTGAGATTCCCTCCCCGGGAACAGGTCCCAAAACCCAAATCCCAAATCCCAGCCCTGGGAACAGCTCCCAAACCCCAAAGCTCAAATCCCAAACTTAGGAACAGGTCCCAAAGCCCAAAGCTCAAATCCCAAACTTAGGAACAGATCCCAAAGCCCAAAGCCCAAATCCCAGCCCTGGGAACAGCTCCCAAACCCCAAATCCCAAAGCCCAGATCCCAAACTCCAAATCCCAACCCTGACCCAGAGTTGGATCTCCACCTGCACCCAATCCCATCCCATGGATCCCATGGATCCTATGGATCCCATCTTGTCCCAATCCCATCCCATCCCATCCCATCCCATCCCATCCCTTCCCATCCCATCCCATCCCATCCCATCCCATCCCATCCCATCCCATCCCATCCNCCCATCCCATCCCATCCCATCCCATCCCATCCCATCCCATCCCATCCCATCCCATCCCATCCCATCCCATCCCATCAATCCCATCCCATGGATCTCATGGATCCCATTCCATGGATCCATTCCATGGATCCCATCCCACCCCATGGATCTCATCCCATCCCATTGATCCCATGGATCCCATCCTATTCCATTATTCCATTATCCCATCATCCCATCCCACCTTTCTTTGGACACTCACGGGGATTCTTTGGGAATTCCAGCCCAGCTGGGAATTCCTTCCCCAGATCCCAAAATCCCAAGCTCCCCTTTCCCACTGGGAATTCCATTCCCTGGCTCCTGCCCCTCCAGCCCTTCCCCAAATTCCAGCTCTCCTGGAGCCCCTTTGGGATCGGGAAGCAGCTCCAAGGATTCCCTGGATCCTTCCCCGATCCAGGGGAACATTCCCAGCTCTCGGAGCACCTCCATGCTCTCCTCTCCAGCTCTGTGTCCCGTTGATTTTGGGATCCCGGAGCTGACTGGGACGCAATTCCCGCTTTTCCCGCTGCCCGGGTTTCGGGCTGATCCCAGGATCCCTGCGGGGCTGGAGCGGGATCAGGGAATGTTTTCCAGCCGCGGGACAGGCTCTGTCACAGCTGCTGTCACCCGAGCCCGGGGACAGCTGTCCCTGGCTGCGCTGGCACCCCGGCCCACCCCGATCCCGTGGGAATTCCAGAGTGCCCGCGGAATTCCAGCCACGGAATTCCAAAGGCAGCGGCGGCTCCGCCCAGCCTGTCAGAGATCCAGAGGATGGGAATGGTGGGATGTGGGATTTGGGATATGGGATATAGAATATGGCATGTGGGATATGGGATTTGGGATGTAGGATATGGGATGTGGGATATGGGATATTGGGATAGAGGATATGGGATTTGGGATGTGGGATATGGCCTGTGGGATATTGGGATGCGGGATATGGGATGGGGGATGTGGGATATTGGGATAGAGGATATGGGATTTGGGATGTGGGATATGGGATATGGGATAGGGGATATGGGATATGGGATACAGGATATGGGATATGGGATTTGGGATGTGGGATATGGGATATGGGATATGGGATATGGGATATGGGATATGGGATATGGGATATGGGATATGGGATATGGGATGGGATGTGGGATATGGGATGTGGGATATGGGATGTGGGATATGGGATATGGGATATGGGATATGGGATGTGGGATATGGGATGTGGGATGTGGGATATGGGATATGGGATACAGGATATGGGATATGGGATTTGGGATGGGGAATACTGGATATTGGGATGTGGGATATGGGGTATGGGGTATAGGATATCCATGGGAATGATTGGCTATTCCATGGCCATGTGGAATTCAGCCCCGTGGGAGCTTCCCGAGGGATCTCCCCCATCCCAGGAGGTGCCAGGAGGTGCCAGGAGGTGCCAGCTGTCCCCCGGTGTCCCCCTGCTGTCCCTTTTCCCGGGACATTTTGGGGCTGTGCGGGTGCAGAGGGATGGGGAAGCAGCGGGAAAATCCCAAGGGTTCCGGGGAAAATTGGGATCCGTGTGCGGGAGCATTCCTGCCGGGATGAGGGCACGGAGGGACCCGGGGGGACAGCGGTGACAGGGACGGGGACAGGGACAGGGACGGGGGGACACTGGGGTCACTGGGATGGGGACAGGGGGACACTGGGATAACTGGGACAGGGACAGGGTGACACTGGGATAACTGGGATGGGGACAGGGACAGGGTGACACTGGGGTCACTGGGGTCACTGGGGTCACTGGGACAGGGACAGGGTGACACTGGGGTCACTGGGGTCACTGGGACAGGGAGAGGGTGACACTGGGGTCACTGGGATGGGGACAGGGTGACACTGGGGTCACTGGGATCACTGGGACAGGGTGACAGGGTGACACTGGGGTCACTGGGATCACTGGGACAGGGTGACAGGGTGACACTGGGGTCACTGAGGCAGGGACAGGGTGACACTGGGATCACTGGGACGGGGACAGGATGACACTGGGATCACTGGGACAGGGTGACACTGGGGTCACTGGGGTCACTGGGGTCACTGGGGTCACTGGGGTCACTGGGGTCACTGGGGTTACTGGGGTACTGTGAGTTATGGGGTGCAGAGCTGTGGGGTGTGGGGTTATGGGTGTGGGATTTCCTGGGATACTGTTGGGAAGGTTTGGATGAGTTTCCCAGGATGTTCATGGGATGGTTGGGATGTGATTCCTGAGATTCTGGGGATCAGGAATATTTGGGATGTGACTCCCGGGATACCAATGGGATATTTGGAATGTATTTTCCAGGATGCCAATGGAACATTCGGGGTGCGATTCCCAGGATGTTGTTGGGATATTTTGGATGCGATTCCTGGGATGCCAATGGAATATTTGGGATGTGATTCCCAGGGTGTTGTAGGGATATTTAGGATGTAATTCCTGGGATATTGTAGGGATATTTAGGATGTGATTCCCAGGATATTGTTGGGATATTTTGGATGTGATTCCCGGGATGTTGTTGGGATATTTTGGATGCGATTCCTGGGATGCCAATGGAATATTTGGGATGTGATTCCCAGGGTGTTGTAGGGATATTTAGGATGTAATTCCTGGGATATTGTAGGGATATTTAGGATGTGATTCCCAGGATGTTGTAGGGATATTTAGGATGTGATTCCCGGGGTTTTGTTGGGATATTTTGGATGCGATTCCTGGGATGCTGTGGGGACATTTGGGATGTGATTCCCACAATGCCAATGGGATATTTGGGATGCAATTCCGGGGATGTTGTTGGGATATTTGGGATGTGTTTCCCGGGATGCCAATGGCACATTAGGGATGTGATTCCCACAATGCCAATGGGATATTTGGGGTGCGATTCCCAGGATGCTGTTGGGATATTTGGGATGCAATTCCGGGGATGTTGTTGGGATATTGGGGATGTGATTCCCGGGCTGCCGTGGCTGCCAGGCCGTTCCCGTTTTCCCAGCTCCATCCCGAGCCAAGCCGGGAGCAGCCGGATCCAACACAAGCTGTCACGGCAGCTGTCGCTCCGCAGGGACCGGGAAAAGGCCGAGGAACTTTTCCAACTGGGAGGAATCCCGCGGATCTGGGCTCCCAAAAACGCTGCTCCTGCCAGGCGAGTCCCGGAGGATCCCAGCTCCCATCTCCCCATCCCAATTCCCATCTCCCA